ATATATATATATATATATATATATCAAATTAAAATAAAATATCAATACAATTTAAAACATATATAATTTTCTTCAAATAATAATTATAACAAAATATCATAATTAATAATATTATACAAAATAATTTTCATAAATGATTATTAATAAAAACCTTTAAAAAATCAATCAAACCCATTTAATTAATCAAAATAATTATAAGGAAATAATCTTCATAAATATAAAAATAAATAATAATTATTCGTAGTATTAGTAGAAAAATTCGGGGTGTTATGCATCTACTCTTTACTAGCTTATTCCTTAAGAACTTCACAATTGACATGGAGTAATTTAGGAATGAGAGACCTTCTGGAAAGTTTTCCAGAAAAATGCGCAAGTGACGACAAGGCACGCTGAAAAGTTTTGTGTTGATTTGTGGGGTTTGTGGGGTGGTTACCCATAGAGGGTTCTGATTGGTGAAAGGTTTTGACCAACGAGGAGTTGTGTGAAGTGTTGTGGGGTGGAACTGCTAAAAGGTCAGATATGAAGGATGTTGTACTAAAATGATGTTATTTAATATAATTTCAAAATATTTTTTTAAAAATATTATCAACAATACCCACAAATTTTATAAGACGATGTAGTTGAGGGTCAGCTTGTTTAGTTATGTTATACAAGGAAATGTGTAAAGTCACAGATGTTACGAGTAGAACAATGGGTGGTTGTGCATCATTGTTACAATCCTGGGCATGACATCACATATCATATATTGCGCCAATTTCTAGAGTACCACCAACAATCCCTTTGGTCTGCAAATGGAACGGGGGTAGAGTACTAAACTTTCAAAGTGTACCTCATAATGATGTTGCCGGATACAGATCAAGGTTTGATCACATTTAGGCTAATCAGGTAACTCTTCATAACAAAGTTTTATTTGTTTCTTATTTTCTTTTGTTTAGCATATTATCTTAACTAACAAAGTTTAATTATTTGTAGTTTTTATGGGCTCCATATCAAGTCTTGCAAACATTAATACTCATGCAAGCATATAGAGATGTCCAACTATGGACTTCATGTACCCCTATCATTTGTTTTACAATTGTTGAATGACACCAATCGGATAGTGAAATTGCAATTTCGTCTCTTCCAAGATGTCCCTTCTCCACCCAATAATTTGAATAACCTACACAAAATTGACATGAGGGGAATACAAGATGAAAATTGGGTTACAAGACATGCTCAATGGATCGACATGTGGAACAATAAACATGAGTTTTAAGTATACTTTTTTAATAATATTAATAAATATATAATTTTATTTACTTATAAAAATAATTTATTAAATTTATCAATATATTCTTAAAAAAATCTGTTGGTATTTTGTGATATTAACATAAAAAAATTCGTTAATAGTTTACTCTTTTTTTTTTGTAATCGTGATTGTATTTCTTGTAATATTTGATAATTCATAAAACATGTCCATAAGGTTTTATATTCAGACAATATGAAATGACATATCTAACTCACATGTAAAATGCATTGGAATTTTTTATAATGAATTTTGTCTTGGGTGCATTTATATATTGATATAAGATTAAGGATATTTGTATGTTCTGTTGCAGATTATTAAACTGCTGAACAAGAATTCCATTAATTGGACAGAGGAAGACAGTGGCCGGACCTTACGCATCCAAGTGGATGTCATTGATAGGAAAAGCCTGCCCTTGGCCCAAAAAACCTGAATATTTGTGTGTCTATTGTCTTTTAGAAAAAAAAAAACATACCTATATCAGATAGATTTTCTAAAGATATATGCAATATCAATTCTTTTTTGCTAAATATGTAAGATTAAAATTTCCCTTTCTATGTCATTTTTTTAGCTTCTGTTTTCTTAAAATGTGCTTACGGGGCATTATTTAGCTATATTGCAGATCAAAATTTTCTATTACAATATTGTTTTTATATACAATTGAAAGTTATTGTTAGTCTACATAACCAAAACACGATTTGAAAGGATTTTTTTTTAGATAAATGAGGAGTCAGTAGAGTTTTTTTCATTGGTGAAACTTATTAAATACTAATTTTAATAAATTTTAACTAACAATAAAATTTAAAAGAATGTCGGGGAATCCTTACCCGTTGCTGTAAAACAATTGAAAAATAGATCAACAAGTTTCGCTCATTTCTTTTAAGATTACATGTTACCTTAATTCTTTTGAAATAATATTTTATATATATATACATATATATATCTCGTGTGTAAAACAATAGGCCTTGCATTGGATGACCCATTAATGTATGCTCATGTTTATTGTTCCACATGTCGATCCATTGAGCATGTCTTGTAACCCAATTTTCATCTTGTATTCCCCTCATGTCAATTTTGTGTAGGTTATTCAAATTATTGGGTGGAGAAGGGACATCTTGGAAGAGACGAAATTGCAATTTCACTATCCGATTGGTGTCATTCAACAATTGTAAAACAAATGATAGGGGTACATGAAGTCCATAGTTGGACATCTCTATATGCTTGCATGAGTATTAATGTTTGCAAGACTTGATATGGAGCCCATAAAAACTACAAATAATTAAACTTTGTTAGTTAAGATAATATGCTAAACAAAAGAAAATAAGAAACAAATAAAACTTTGTTATGAAGAGTTACCTGATTAGCCTAAATGTGATCAAACCTTGATCTGTATCCGGCAACATCATTATGAGGTACACTTTGAAAGTTTAGTACTCTACCTCACCATATCCTTAAGAGTCCTGTTTTTACGTTCTCCAACATCGTTCATGCTTGGTTTCCTAGGCATAGTATACTTAGGAACGATGCCACATTCCCTTAGGAAAAGTGCAAAAGGCCTCGGATGTTGTTCACCTGATCCATCATATCTACCGTAATATTAACCACCACAATCCGATTTGATGGCATTAATTTTCTTTCCAAGTTGAAACTCAACTTCAACTTTAAAAGATTTAAAAACGTCTAGGGATTGGGACTTCTCATGAATTAAAAATAGGTAGTCATACCTTGAATAATCATCTATGAACGTAATGAAATATTGTTGCCCATTCCAAGATGCTGTAGGGAACGGTCCATAAATATCTATGTGAATTAATTCCAAAATGTCCTTAGCCCTTTCGACACCTAATTTTCTAGAATTTGTTTGTTTACCTTTAATTCATTCAACGAAAACCTCAAAGTTTAACAAGTTTAAGGGTTCAAGAATCTCATTGAGAATGTAATTATTTGTATCTATGTTCTATTACAGTTGTTGTTGCTAGTGCCGTTAACTTGTCTGCTCAAATTAATTGTATTAACATAACTAAACAAGCTGACCCTCAACTACATCGTCTTATAAAATTTGTGGGTATTGTTGATAATATTTTTAAAAAAATATTTTGAAATTATATTAAATAACATCATTTTAGTACAACATCCTTCATATCTGACCTTTTAGCAGTTCCACCCCACAACACTTCACACAACTCCTCGTTGGTCAAAACCTTTCACCAATCAGAACCCTCTATGAGAATGTAATTATTTGTATCTATGTTCTATTACAGTTGTTGTTGCTAGTGCCGTTAACTTGTCTGCTCAAATTAATTGTATCCCTATGCTTAATGGGATAAACTTTAAGGCTTAGAAGGAAGCAGTTGAGATAATTCTTGGCTGCTTAGATCTTGCTCTTGCACTTCAAGTTGAGAAACCCACTCCAACTCTGGAAACCCCGAATGAGGATAAGGTTGAAAAGTGGGAACGCTCAAACCGAATATGTTTGATGATCATGAAGCGATCTATTCCAAAAGTTTTTCAAGGCTCTATTTTTGAGAGCCACAATTCTAAAGGTTTCCTTGATGCTGTTGAGCAGTATTTCACTAGTAATGAGAAAGCTGATGCAAGCAGTGTGCTTGCTAAACTTATCTCTATGAGATACAAAGGTAAATAAAAATATAAGGGAGTAAATTGTGTAAATGTCTAATCTTGTGTCAAAACTAAAAGCACTAAAGTTAGAGTTGTCTGATGACTTGCTCGTGCATCTAGTTTTGATTTCCCTTCCTACTCACTTTGGGCAGTTTAAGGTGAGTTATAATACTCAGAAAGATAAATGGACCTTGAATGAACTGATTTCTCATTATGTGCAAGAGGAGGAAAGTCAGCAAAGAGAAAAGACTAAAAGTGCTCATTTGGCATCAAGCTCTCAGAATAGGAAGAGAAAGAATAATAAGGATGCTACAAGAAGGACTTCTCAGCAAAAGAAAGTCAAAAAAGGACGAGAACACACCTATTTGTTTTTTCTGCAAGAAGCTTGGGCACATGAAGAAAGAGTGTCCCACGAACGTCTCCTGTTCTTGCAAACGAATGTCTTCTATTAATTATGTTTTCTTGTGGTGTGATGTTGTGTGGAGAATTTGATACATATGCTGATAAGTCTCTTCATACGACGACATGGAAGTCGCACCATTTTCAAATGTTGTGGAAGTCCTTCGTTGTTGATGGGTCCTTGGATCTTGTAGTAATCGTGTCACAGATAGAAAATAGATGGAATTGGCCACATACCATTCCATGTATTCTCGTGTGTAAAACAATAGGCCTTGCATTGGATGACCCATTAATGTATGCTCATGTTTATTGTTCCACATGTCGATCCATTGAGCATGTCTTGTAACCCAATTTTCATCTTGTATTCCCCTCATGTCAATTTTGTGTAGGTTATTCAAATTATTGGGTGGAGAAGGGACATCTTGGAAGAGACGAAATTGCAATTTCACTATCCGATTGGTGTCATTCAACAATTGTAAAACAAATGATAGGGGTACATGAAGTCCATAGTTGGACATCTCTATATGCTTGCATGAGTATTAATGTTTGCAAGACTTGATATGGAGCCCATAAAAACTACAAATAATTAAACTTTGTTAGTTAAGATAATATGCTAAACAAAAGAAAATAAGAAACAAATACAACTTGAGGTTTTCTATATCTATTCTTACTGTTATAAAGAGGAAAGCTGCATGCAGTTTTTTATTTCCTTCTCTAACTACCATTATTTTATTCACTTGATAATTTATAAAGTATAAAACTGTAAATAAATTATTTAAGATAAAATAATAAATACAATTTTTTTATTGCAATTCGTTTAACACAATTTTATGTTTCTAATTATAAGATTGTAATTGATTGAAACTTATGATCATTTATTTCTTGTCTTTATAAAATGCGCATTGACAAACAAATAGTGTAAACAATGATAAAATTTGAAGTAATAAAAATAATTCTGTTATGAATAATAATTAGTGGCTTAATTAGTGGATGCCAATATTCATAACCTTGCGGGACAGGCTACCTGCTTTGTGGAAGGTTCAAGGAGGGCTTGAGTTGCTGGACGTGTCAAATGGTTACTTCATGGTGAAGTTTGATTTGGAGGCGGATAGAGAACGAGTCATGCACGGGGGCCCTTGGATGCTCTTTGATCATTATCTGATTGTTCGACCATGGTCCCTGAAGTTCGTTGCGTCAGCAACGAAGGTCGACAGCACTCTCGTCTGGGTTAGGCTTCCAGGGCTCGGAGTGATGTTCTACGATGAGAGTGTGCTCTTAACGATTGCTTCGGCCATAGGGAAACCAGTCAAGGTGGATCTGAATACCCTGAATATGACACGGGATAGGTTTGCACGGGTCTGTGTCGAGATTAATTTAAATGTGCCAGTTGTCGGAAAGTTTTTCCTCAACGGTGTTTGGTATAACGTTGAATACAAGGGTTTACACTTGCTGTGCTCGGCGTGCGGCTGCTATGGGCATGTTCTGCGAAATTGTAATCACGCAAACAGGACTGAGTTATTGGCACACGGTGAGGGGGAGAAGGAGGCGACGGAGCAGCCGTCAGGGGACCCACCGCATAATGCAGAATCTGTTGCTCCAACAGAAGAGAAATCTGTCCCGCAAGTTAGGGGGGAAATCCCGCTAAATCCGCATGGGGAATGGTTGGTAGTGAAAGGAGGAATCGGAGACAAAATCCTGGGAAACCGTTGAGTAAGGGTCGATATTCCTATCATAATGGGAATGCAGAAATCCAGGCGCAAGATCATGCCATCCCAAGTTACTCTACGAAGGCAGTCCAAACAGAGAAGGAACCACGTACGGGATTTAAACATTCACGTGTGGTGAGATTGCAATCACGTGAACAGGACCATGCATCAGGGTCTAAAGCCTTTGATGGGGGCCACAGGTTGAATCAGAATTTGAATGGCATGGGGTCCACGCATGAGAGTAAGAAACGTAGCAGGGGGGAGGTAGTTTCTGCCCGTCCACGGGCCACTAGTATTGCACCAGCATTGGGCTCGCATATGGCCCACAGTCCGCACGTTAGCCTCCCTCTCAATGATCTCGCATACGGCCCACAATTGGTGCAGGAGGGACTAACGGGGAGTTCAACTACGAGTATGGAACCATGTGCGCTTCAGCCAGGTTGCATGACCAACGCACTACACGTTTCCAAGGACGGTGTTCATGAGATCCTGGGTACGGAGGATGTTATGCAATATGAAGAAGAGGAGGTCATGGTAGCTTGAGTACCTGTCGTATCTAGTCGTCTTTAATGTCTACGAATTTTAATATTTTGAGTTGGAACATCAGAGGGGCTGTTAATGCCAAAGGTAAAAGGAGGGTTGCGGAGTTAGTAAGGCTCCACCACCCATCTATTTTTATTATTTTGGAAACCCACTGCCAGTTTTCTTCGGTGGAATCGTTCTGGTTAAAGATGGACTATAGGTTGTGCTACAGCATGGAGGCGACGGGGCATTCTGGAGGTATTTGGGTTTTGATGGCGATGTCATGCTCTGCTAAGATTTTTGACTTTGCTTCCCACCCTCAGGCCATCTCGTTTACGGTTGTTGAAGGAAGCAAGAGCTGGGTGTGTACTGCCGTTTATGCTAGTCCTCGGGTGGAACTTAGACAGCGGGTTTGGGCTCATCTTCGGGAGTTGGGGGGACGAATTACGTTGCCATGGCTGGTGCTTGGAGATTTCAATGAAATTATGTTGTCAACGGAGTGTAGGGGTGGTCGCTTCTCGACAGCACGGGCTTCACAATTTCTGGAAGTTCTGAATGATTGTAATCTTCTTGACATGGGGGCTAAGGGTCTCCGCTTCACGTGGTATAGAAATCAACGTGGGGTTTGTAGACACCCAATTTCGTCCGGGGGGGCACACAAACAAAGAAATGGACCTCCATTATGAAGGAAAGGAGCTTCCGAAGCAGGCAAATAACAAGACAGGACATCAGAAGGCCTAAAGGCTAAATATGGTGTTTTTAGTAGCCCGGAACGGGCTGTTCCAAAATCGGAACGGCCCGTTACAAAGTTAGAACGGGCCGTTCCAAAATCAAAACGGGCCGTTTTGAACCCCGTAACGGGCCGTTCTAATATCAGAACGGGTCGTTCCAATATAACTAAAAACACCTAAAGAGGCTTGTGTGGAACGGGCCGTTCCAATAACAGAACGGGCCGTTCCAAACAAGGCAAATTTGGAACGGGCCGTTCTGGAAAGGTTAAGTTCGTGTTATTTTCTACTCTGGAACGGGCCGTTCCATTTTCAGAACGGGCCGTTCCATAGTACGAAATTTACACATAATAATTGGGCCAGAACGGGCCATTTCGAAACCGGAACAGGCCGTTCTGGCCCACTGCTGATCCCTATAAATTGAAGCCTTGGGCACAGTTTTGAGGGGGGCCAGAGAAATTTCGAATAAGACTCCTTTGAGCACGAAAATTCTCTATCTCTCTCCCTTCTATTATATTTTTTGAGATTTGTGTCGCATCTCTATATTCTCTCTCCCTCCTATTGTATTTCTTGAGATTTGTGAGGCATACTGTAGTGTGAAAGGTCGCCACAAAGCACCTTTTCCATATTTGAAGATTCAATAAAGCTTGTTCAAGAGGTATTTCAGCTAATCTTCTTCTCTTCCTTTTATTTCTTATCTTTATCTCTTTTTTTGTTATAATAAACGTCATAATGTAGATATTTTAGGGTTAATCGCTTAATTTATATTTTAAGCATGATTTATATTTTAAGCATGTAAATAAATATTAATAAAGGGGATTCAATATTTAATTTATTAATTCTTATAATGTTAACTTCATCATAGGGTACCAATTGAGGGCGTTGTAGGGGTGCTTAATACCTTCCCTACATGTAACCGACCCCCGAACCCAATTCTAGTTATCAAGGCCATTGTTGGATCTTTAAAAACTTTTTCTTACACGTAACCGACCCCCGAACCCAATTCTGGTTATCAAGGCCATAGTTGGATCTTTAAAAAACCTTTTCTTTTTCCAATGTTTTGAGTAAAATATTGGTGGCGACTCCATAAACCTATTTTCAAAAACCATTAATTAAGGATTAGTCTGGTGTCTGGGCATTCCTTAATTAATGAGACTTTTAAAAGGATGTCTAAACCATACGTCGCAAGATCGGAAATTTTTGGGTTGCGACAGGGTTGTGCTGGCAAAGCGGCTAGACTGTGCAGTGTGCAATGTTGCGTGGCAAGCAATGTTTCCAGAAGCATATGTTGAGAATCTGTGCAGGGTATACTGTGATCATTGCCCTCTTTTACTGCGGCGTGAAGGCTCAAGAGACAAGGCTCAAGATCGACCCTTTCAGTTCGAAGCTGCATGGGCCACCCATAAAGGTTTTGAGCGAATTGTTAGGGAGGCGTGGGGCCGTAGCACGCCGACCCTTGCTAATGGGTTACAGGCTGTTCGTGTTGATGCCATCAAGTTTAACAAGGAAGTGTTTGGGAATATCATTACTAGAAAGAAGGCTCTCCAACGACGTCTCAGAGGGGTACAACTACAACTCGAGATAGGGGAATCAGAAAGCCTGTCACGCTTAGAAAAGACCATACAAGCGGAGCTGGATGAAACTTGTCTTCAGGAGGAGTACCTATGGTTTCATAAATCTAGAGAAAAGTGGGTGAGGTTTGGGGACCGTAATACGTCCTTCTTCCATGCTCAAACACTCGCGCGAAGACGGAGAAACAAAATTCAGGGGTTGTTTCTACCAGATGGGTCTTGGCATACGGATCCTATGGTAATGAAAAATGAGACAGTCCGATTCGATAAGGAGCTTTTCTCGAGTAATAACGAACAAGGGCCTTTTTACATGCATGCTGGGGTGCCACCTGGCCTGGGAGTTGAGGCCCAATCTGCCTTAACTGCCCCAGTCACGAAGGAGGAGGTTCGCCGGGCAGTGATGAGAATGAAGTCGTTCAAGGCTCCAAGGTCGGATGGGTTTCAATCGTTCTTTTTCAAGCAGTATTGGCCTATTGTAGGGGAGGAGTTATGGCGTATAGTGAAGGATGCCTTTCGGTTGGGGTTCTCAGACATATCCCTCTTGGAGACACAAATGGTGTTAATTCCGAAGGTGGACCATCCGGTTAGCCTCAAAGAATTTCGTCCTATAAGCTTGTGTAACGTTGCCTGAAAGGTTATCTCTAAAGTGATTGTGGCTCGACTCAGGCCCTTCCTGCAGGACGTCATTGGCCCATTCCAGGGCAGCTTTATCCCCGGGAGGGGGACTCGCGACCATAGTATTATTGCTCAAGAAGCCGTCCATTTTGTACGGAAGGACGGTTCAGGTGTGGGTTCCTTGGCCTTAAAAATTGACCTTGAAAAGGCATATGACAGGGTCAAGTGGGATTTCTTGGAATCTACGCTGGTGCAATTTGGCTTCCCAACAGTCACTACTCAGCTCATCATGTGGGGGTTGAAGAATTCGTCAAGGAATGGAAGCACATTACCGTCCTTTGTTCCGTCACGTGGCCTTCGACAGGGGGACCCATTATCTCCGTATCTATTTGTTTTCTGCATGGAGCGCCTAGCTCTCAGGATCTCTGAGTTGCTCCAGATGGGTCATTGGAAATCGATTCAGTTATCCCCTGGGGGACTACCGCTTTCACATCTTCTCTTTGCTGACGATATTTTATTGTTTTGCCAAGCTACAGAGGACCAGGCTCGGTTGGTGGCGTCGACCTTGGAGGAGTTTTCGTGGTCATCAGGCTTGAGAGTTAATTTGACTAAGTCTAAGTTTGTGAGCTCTAGAAGGGTTTCACATAGGAGGATCGATGCTTTGGAGGGCTTGCTCGGGATTGGCCACACGGCTCAGATCGGGAAGTATTTGGGGGTTCCCATGACTCATGGTCAGCCAAGGTGCGCAGATTTTTATGATGTGATGGATAAGATCCAGGGTAGACTTGCGGCTTGGAAGTCTAAGCTCCTTAATAAGGCAGGTAAGCTGTGCCTGGTGAAGTCTACCATCTCCTCTATTCCAGTTTATAGCATGCAAACATTGTGGCTTCCTCAGGCAGTGTGCAATAGAATTGATCAGGCTTGTCGTCGTATGCTCTGGTCAAAATCTGACAATACTCGGTTTTGGTCCCCAGTGAGTTGGGCTGTTGTTACTCAACCCAAGGAGCTCGGTGGTCTTGGGGTTAGGGAGGCGCGAAGGGTTAATGTATCACTCCTTGGGAAGTTAGTTTGGGATCTGCTGACAGCTCCACAGAAGCCTTGGGTTCAAATCCTCAACAGCCTATACCTACATGGAAACTCTATCTTGTGTGCCCAAAACAGGCGGGGTGCTTCTCCAATCTGGTCAAGTCTGGTTAAGGCCCTTCCTTCTCTTCGTGAGGGTTTCGAGCCTCAGCTAGGGTCGGGTGCCTCATCCCTTTGGTACACGGACTGGTCAGGTACTGGGCTTTGGTGCGGGAGAGTCTCGTTCATTCACATTGCGGACATCAACAAAACGGTTGCCGACTGCTGGGTTAGTGGAGTTTGGAACTTTACTAACTTGCATACTGTTCTCCCGACGGAGCTGTTAAGTTCGGTCCAACGGCTGACTGTCGTCAATTCCTCTTTGGGGCTGGATCACTTTGTTTGGAGGGGTGATAACTCAGGTTGTTACACAGCGGCCGCTGGATATCGTTTTCTGACCCGGGTCTTGTCAACAAAGGGGGATGTAGTTTGGAAGAAGGTCTGGAAGTTAATGATTATAGAGAAGGTTAAGTTCCTTCTGTGGCAATGCCTTCATTCAGCCCTTCCAACTAACCAGGTTCGGGCTGATAGGAGGCTCACTGAGTCCGGTGCATGTTCGCATTGCTCTTGCCCTCATGAAACTATCTTACATGCACTCCGTGATTGCCCGTACTCGCGAGAGGTGCTGATGGCTGGCGGGATCAGAACGGGGTGGTCCTTCTCGAAAAGAGATTGTTTTCAGCGGCTAAAGGGGATTATTTTGCACACGGATGTTATTAATCTATCCATCACCTTGTGGTGGGTTTGGAGGTTTAGAAATAACATGTTGTTCAACGGCGAGCTTTGGACGATTTCGGCGGTCCGTCGGAAGGTGACACTGTCTACGGTGGAGAACAGTGTGTATAATGATAAGCGGCGCTTGTGGATGGAGCAACCTCTATGGAGACCTCCGGAGCATCCGTGGGCCAAACTCAACACGAACGGGAGTTGGTTGAGTGACATTTCTACTATGGGGATGGGTGGAGTAATTCGAGATTGGGCAGGTAGGTGGCGGGGTGGATTCTCGCGTGGAGCGTTAACTGGGGATGCGTTACGTGCCAAGCTGTTGGCTTTGGAGGATGACTTATCGCTTTGTTGGGAAGGTGGGTTTCGGAAGGTGAGTTGCGAATGTGATTGCCTGGAAGCTGTTACGTTGTTTCAAGATCGGTCAACGGATAGGGACTACCTGCACAAGCATTATGATGTTATTCGCCGTATTAAGTGCATGCTAGCCCGGGACTGGGTAGTTTACGTCAATCATATCCCTCGAGAAATAAATTCAGTAGCCCATACGCTTGCCAATTGTGGGGTACGGAACATGAGTTCCAATGTATTTTGGAGGAGTCCTCCTGATTTTATCCTGTTACCGTTAGGAAGAGACTCTGTGTATTGATTTGTCTGCTGTTTTAGTTTTCATTCTTTACCAAAAAAAAAATCATTACCATTTATATTTTCATTATGTATTATTCCCTTTATTGTGTAATTGTTCAGTTACCACATGTACTTATAAATAGGTTACTCCTCTCCCTAAGATAATACACCAGTCAGATTCTTTTTTCTATCTCATACTGTCTTATTTCTTCTCTCTAATTTTTCTTCCTTTTATAACACGTTATCAGCACGATAGTCTTTTACCTATTGGTGTTACAACTACAAGAGAAAGCTGTGAAGAATCTTCTTCAAGAATATCATATTTATCAAGACAAATATTTTAAGAATGGATATTGACCATAGCATCAATAATGAAGATATGTGTCTCGCTGATAGTGCAACGACTCACACGATTCTCAAGAATAATAAATTCTTTTCAAATTTAGTGATGCAAGAAATCAAAGTTAGTACCTATCTAGTACTACAAATATAATTGAAGGCTCCGGAAGAGCTAATACATTGTTACCGGGAGGAATGAAGTTGCATATTAAAAATGCATTATATTCTTCTAAGTCTTATAGAAACTTATTAAGTTTCAAGGATATTCGTTTAAATGGGTTTTATATTGAAACAAACAATGAAGGGAATGTAGAATATCTTTATATCACGAAAATCCACTTGAATAAAAAAGAAGTATTGGAAAAATTACATGCTTTCTCTTATGGACTGTATTGCACGTATGTTAATACAGTTGAAACAAATATTATTGTAAACCAGAAGTTTACAAATCAAAATAAATTTGAGGTTTGACATGATCGATTGGGTCACCCTGGGACTATCATGATGCAAAAAATAATTGAAAATTCATGCGGACATTTATTGAAGAGCCGGGAGATTCTTCAATCAAATATTTTTTCATGTACCGCTTGTTCCCAAGGAAAGTTAATAATTAGACCATCACCAGCAAAAATTGGGAATGAATCTATCTTATTTTTAGAACGAATACAAGGTGATATTTGTGGACCAATACACCCCCCATGTGGACCATTTAGATATTTTATGGTTTTAATTGATGCATCAACAAGATGGTCACATGTTTGTTTATTATCAACTCGCAACCAGGCGTTTGCGAGATTATTAGCTCAACTAATTAGATTAAGAGCTCATTTTCCTGATTATCCAATTAAGAAAATTCGTTTGGATAATGCTGGTGAATTCACATCTCATGCTTTTAATGAGTATTGTATATCCATTGGAATTGATATTGAACATCCAGTAGCACATGTTCATACACAAAATGGACTTGCAGAATCATTTATCAAACGTTTAAAACTAATTGCAAGACCATTACTCATGAGATCAAAACTTCCAATGTCAACTTGGGGGCATGCAATCTTACATGCCGCAATATTAATTCGCATCAGGCCAACAAGTTATCACAAATTCTCTCCTTTACAGTTGGTTTTTGGTGAGCAACCTAATATTTCTCATTTGAGAATCTTTGGGTGTGTTGTATATGTTCCAATTGCCCCTCCTCAAAGAACCAAAATGGGTCCTCAAAGAAGGTTGGGAATATATGTTGGGTATGAATCCCCATCTATAATAAAATATCTTGAACCATTAACAGGCGATTTATTTACGGCTAGGTTTGCTGATTTCCATTTTAATGAGTTGATTTTTCCAACATTAGGGGGAGAACAAAAACAGTTGGAAAAAGATATTAGTTGGAATGAATTATCACTATCTCATCTTGATCCTCGTACAAAACAATGTGAACTAGAAGTTCAAAAGTAACTCATTTGCAAAATCTAGCCAACCAATTACCAAATGTATTCACAGATCCAAAAAGGGTGACTAAGTCATATGTACCAGCGACTAATGCCCCAATAAGAATCAAAGTCCCTGTTGGACAATTTAATACTACAAACGAGTCACAAATACGCCTGAAGCGTGGTAGACCAATTGGTTTCAAGGATAAGAATCCTCGAATAAAAAAGGGAGTTAAAGAGCAAAATGACCAAATTGAGGATGTAAAAACTCAAAAAGATTCCTCTGACATAACTCATATTCCAGTTCCAGAAGAAACTCAGGTACCTAAAATTATTGAAAATGAAGAGATCTCAATAAATTATGTCATGAATGGAATACGATGGAATCGAAACAATGTCAATATTGATGACGTGTTTGCATATAATATAGCGCTAAATGAAATAAATGATATTGAGGATCAAGAACCAAAGTCCATCAACGATTGTCGACAAAGAAATGATTGGCCAAAATGGAAAGATGCAATTGAGGCAGAATTAGACTCGCTTGCTAAACGAAAAGTTTTTGGACCAGTACTACGTACACCAAAAGGTGTAAAACCAATTGGATACAAATGGATTTTTGTGCAAAAACGAAATGAAAATGGTGAAATTGTGAGATACAAAGCAAGACTAGTTGCTCAAGGTTTTTCACAAAGACCCGGTATTGATTTTGAAGAGACATATTCACCTGTAGTGGATGCAAACACTTTTCGATATTTAATTAGTTTGGTTGTACATGAAAAACTTAATTTACATCTAATGGATGTAGTTACAGCATATTTATATGGCTCTCTTGATGCTGACATTTATATGAAACTCCCAGAAGGATTTAATTTGCCTGACGATGCAATTTCTAAAGAAGATTATTCGATCAAATTGAATAAGTCCCTATATGGGCTAAAACAATCAGGTCGTATGTGGTATAATCGACTAAGTGAATACTTGTTACAAGAAGGATATAAAAATGATCCAATTTGTCCGTGTATATTTATAAAAAGATCTAAAAATGGATTTGCCATAATTGTAGTTTATGTAGATGACATAAACATTATTGGAACTCCTGAAGAGCTTTCAAAAGCAATAGATTGCTTAAAGAAAGAATTTGAAATGAAGGATCTAGGAAGGACAAAGTTTTGTCTAGGACTACAAGTTGAATACTTAGAAAATGGAATTCTTGTGCATCAAGAAGCTTATATAACTAAGGTGCTTAAAAGGTTTTATATGGACAAATCACATCCATTGTGCACCCCCATGGTTGTAAGATCTTTAGATGTTAACAAAGATCCATTTAGACCCCAAGAAAAGGATGAAGAAATACTTGGTCCTGAAGTACCATATCTTAGTGCTATAGGAGCATTAATGTACCTTGCTAATTATACACGACCTGATATAGCATTTGCTGTTAATTTGTTAGCAAGATATAGTTCTTCACCTACACGAAGACATTGGAATGGAGTTAAACAAATCCTTCGTTATCTTAGAGGTACAATGGATATGGGGTTATTATATTCAAATGTTCCTAAACCAGAACTAAATGGTTATGCAGATGCAGGTTATTTGTCAGATCCTCATAATGATAAATCACAAACAGGATATTTGTTTACAAATGGTGGTACAGCCATCTCATGGCGATCTGTAAAACAAACCATATCAGCCACTTCATCTAATCATGCTGAAATTTTAGCATTACATGAGGCAAGTCGTGAATGTGTTTGGCTAAGATCTGTGATTCAACACATACGAAAAACTTGTGGTTTATCTTCTGGCAAAATGACATCGACAGTTATATATGAAGATAATGCTGCATGTATTGCACAATTGAAAGATGGATACATAAAGGGAGATAGAACAAAACATATTCTACCAAAATTCTTTTTTACTCATGATCTTCAAAAGAATGGTGATATAAATGTTCAACAAGTCAGCTCAAGTGACAACCTAGCAGATCTCTTTACAAAGTCACTTCCAAGAAAAGTTTTTGAACAATTGATACACAATATTGGACTCCGTCGTCTTAAAAATTGTATGCATGAGGGGGAGAAATAAATATTTATGAATGATGTACTCTTTTTCCTTCACTAGGTTTTTATCCCACAAGGTTTTTCCTAGTAAGGTTTTTAACGAGGCACGTTCTAAATATTGGACATCCAAGGGGGAGTGTTATGAATAATAATTAGTGGCTTAATTAGTGGATGCCAATATTCATTATCAATCATTACCATTTATATTTCCGTTATGTATTATTTCCTTTATTGTGTAATTGTTCAGTTCACATGTAGTTATAAATAGGTTACTCCTCTCCCTAATATAATACACCAGGCAGATTCTTTTCTCTATCTCATACTGTCTTATTTCTTCTCTCTACTTTTTCTTCCTTTTATAACAAATCCATAATTATAAAGGAAACAAGTACTAGGCAAATATTCACGAAAAAACAAAAGTGTCAAGCAAAATTCAATGAAGTAATACCTAAAGAGTGACTGGATTAACAGAAATCCTCTGACTATAAAACTAAATTAATTTTGTAAGAAAGATTATTGTGTTGCAAGATATGAAATATAATGATTCACCACAAGATGCGGATTTGAGAAAAATTATAATTACACAAGAACAATAATTGAATTTGTTCTGTTTGTGCCCATAACATGATATCCTACCATAACCCATTTTGTCAAAAGTGAAACTTCTTAACCACGGGGAACCTTGTTGGAAACATTGTAACATATATACAAGGGGGGAAAAACAGAACTAAGGTGGCAAAATTAAGCACCTTGACAAAATTTTAAATCCTGAAGTTCTACTAAAATTCATCAGAGAAAATAAACAAGGAAATATCTCATTGGGGTCCTTGTGTAAGTCTCTGCAACTCATTTTGGTCTCCAAGAGTTTCAATGAGAAGAGGTGGAGCATATTGTGCTGTCCCATGCTCTTCAGAGTCTTGGCAGAATGAGAGAATGATGGTGTCGATTGACATCTCTACAACAGCAAAGAAAAGGGTTGCAACAATATATCCAAGAGCCCAGCAAACCTGCATTTGATAAAATCCATTATAAGGGTTTGTAAATGTTTACAATCTAACATTAAAAGGAGAATAAATATAAACATATTTTTTTGCAGCCCTTCATCCTTTTAGCTAGCATGTTATCCATTATGGTCATGTTTACTGCATGAAATCAATCTTTTACTCGGTGGTGCAGATTGCAGAGCCACAGGCTTAACTCTTCATGATGAAAGAAATCAACTTATATACATAGAACTACGTAGTAACACACAGGCTAATTTAGGCCCAAAATGATTTTGAATCAAGTTGTTTATTTCAATTCTAATTAGAGAACAGTATCAACAACACATAGAATTGTATTAAAGTTTTATCTTATTTCAATATGGATAAAACTTGGATACAATACTATAAATATTGTTAGTTCTGTTTTCCAATCTAAAATGGAATTTCACCTAGGTAATATGTGTCATGTTGGCATTTAATGAAATCTTTTATTACTCAAATTACTAAGGTAAAACTCTAATTCTAATTGAAGAACAGCATCAATGGCAACAATGCCTATTGTACTATATCTAAGTTTTATCCTTTGAATATTTTCGAACTGAAACCTATGGACATGCTAAAATATTTTGACTAACTATCCATCTAAATGAGAGTCTAGACAATTTATCAATTAAAAATTGAATTACCATCTTTCATGCTTTGGTTAAACCATAATCGATCTTCAAGCTCTACTCTTTTAAGAAGATGATATAAACTTACCACAACAGGCAATAGCGGAGATGAGATCTTGTGTGCAGATTTGTACTTGTGTGCGTCCAACATGAGGAAAGCAAAAATAGCGCTTGAGAGGCTGACACATAGTTTTCCAAGGAACAAAATAACATCTCCAATCACATTGACACGTCCAATCCGTAGGATATTATTCATGATCAATTCTGTTGCAATGGCAGAAGCTCTAAAGAAACTTTTACCCGTTATAGCAATCTGCAGGTGCTAGGCAGATACTTGAGAAGTTAAACATAGAAAGACAAATTGAATTAACTGAAAAGGACGACAAACTGAATAGATTAAAAAAGTATGTGAACGTTAATATACAGAGTGAAATATAGAATGGCTTGTTGGAAAAACAAAATTCTAACATAATACTTCTACCCGAAAACTTCAAAGCAAAACCATTATTCTAGCAAAATTATACTGTTAGTGTTTAACATGTCAACATTAAAAGAAATTGTTTTGTCCCCTAATTTTAATTAAACTCAACATAAACACAGATCCATAGGAAACTCAGCCTTTCCCATACTTTCTGATTACAATCACAAGGCAAACAGTATACATTAAAATTCACTTTTCCATCTATTGGTATTCTTAATGTATCCTTATTTGTTAAATAATAAATGCACAAAACACATATCTATCGACATGATACATGCATAAATGGCTTATGGAAGATTAACAAAATTACCATGATGTAAGCATTTCGGTTCACTGATTTGATGGTCCACGCAATACACCTTTGAAAATATTGAGAAGATTGGTAAGCAGCCTTGCCAATCCAGTTGTCAGGCACGTGACTAAAAACTTTTAGTCTCCGGCGAATAGATTCTAGCAGAAAACGGATCGACTCTACAAACGATACGGTCAGAGAGCCAAGAGCCACAGAACCAAGATGGTAACGCATAAGCCTCTTCATGGAGGAAATGACTGAAAGAAAAGGAATTTCAGGCTGCATTGAGAAAGATGGATTACATTTAGCAACATATATAAAAGATAACTCTGCAACTATCAAAAGAAAAATGATTAATTCATATTCAAATTCAAATCAGTTGAACAAACGAGAACCTGCAGTTTGTCATTTAATCTGAATTTGATTTTTGTTATTAAGTTGAAAATCTAAACTCTAAACTCCCTAATAATTTTTTCTAGTTCCGTCCCAAACAAGCCACTCTGCGCCGCTAATGCAGCATTATTTAAAACCTGGATCTGCATATAATGTTCCTTCACTGCATCCTCCAAATTATACAACAACAATAGCCTAATCTCACTAGGTGAGGTCCTCTACATGGATTACATGATGTTGTTGGGTATTTGGACTCATGTTAAAAACCAAATTCTCAGTAATATTATTAACCATGAGATCCCTTCTAATAATTTCCTCCAATGTCCTTTTTGGTCTCCCTTTACCCTTTTTCACATGGCTAAAAACCATAAAATGGTGCATACTCAAAATTATGGCAAGAAGAAAATCATCTGAATTGTATTATTCGTTTTATTTGTGAACATGGCATTTGACTTACAGATGCTTCACCATGGGTCCAATAATAAGAGGCAACAGATCCAGCAATCACTGTTGATGAGCAAGCTATAAAAAATTGCGTAGCCCAATAACAGCCAAATAGGTGAAAAAGGATGGCAGCTCCAATATGCGGTGTGTAATGAATGCTATATCCACAACACTGATCACAAATAACCTTTTTCTCCAAGAGGTCATATGCACAGCAGTTAGAGTTGCACTTATTCTGAACAACCTGGCCAGAGCTGAACAAATGTAGAGCAGCAGAAATCCAGAACATATAGAACACTGCAAGAATACCATATGGTATGATTGGAAAAATAATAAGTGCTTGAACTTCTCCTATCACTTTTGCAGCAACCTGTAAGCAATATTTGCATTAAAATTAATTGAATTGATTGCGGGAGGAAAAGAATGCGGCATCATCATTCCACAATTACATATAATTCTAGCATTGCTATGTTGTACCATACAATGTGCCAATGGACTAGATATGAGTAAGAATTTTGTGAAAGATAAGTTATGCATAAATTAGTGACAACTGGATGTGAAAACTAAAGTATTGCATGGCAGGGTTATACTAGGTCACAGAAGTTATAAATTAGGTGTCCCATAAGGAAAAGTCTCGGAAGATGAGCCTCTGAGTAAATAATATTTAGGTTAAAAATACACATAATTGCTATCAGATATCAATCAATGAAACAAAACAACAAACTCAATCATAGTTTCAAAACTGAATATAATAAGGTTATGCTTGCCTTAAGGACAGAAGATGCCATAAGGATGCGCCGGACAACAGCAATTGATGTAAGAATGGCAACAAGCATGATAAAGGTCATAAGGACAGTGACAACACGTAGATGAGTCAGCTCCTGAAAATGAATTTACATGATAAATCATCAATGCAGAGAGAAAGAGAGATCATACACTAAATATATAGAACTCAATTGCAATGATACTTACCCTCCCAAATACATGAATGTAAGGATCATGCTCACCAACAATGGGGGAAATAGCATCATTTCCTATCCATCCAACTGAAAGTCAGGAAGACAACATTAGACATTGTTTGATTGATGTTTGCCCAAAATCTAGAGAAAAAAAAAAAGGAGAAATAAAAATATTTGGCTAGATAATTCAAAAGTTATAATGTATCAAGTTATACACATTCTTTCATCCAATATTGAATATTTAACAAGTCAGTCATATACCACACAAACAAAAACTTCTTTTTTTCATTGTTTTCAATGACAGAAACCAAGGAAAATGGTGATCTAAAAAATGAATAGGTCATGGGGCAGACAAGGAAGTAAACATTAAATATATAGGGGAAAGAAAGGAAAAATGAATATAATAAAAAAGGAATATTCATATGTTGGCCGTTTCCTAGTGCTATTTCCTTAACAGACAGACATTTGGAACTCAAAATAGCCCAGCAGAGATCCTAACCTTTTAGATAGAAAAACATTGTGACTGATACTATTAGAACATTGAACAAAACCACTGTAATCCAAGGCATGGCAGCAACTAAATGCCGAATCAGCAGCAGCCAAATCACAGACAGAAACAGAGGTAAAATCCCTCCACAAACAATCAGCACAGGCCATGCCTTTCCTATGTCAGCCATGTATCTCTGCAAATAAAAGTATTTGTCAAACTTTAAATTTCTGCAACAAATACATATATAATAATGCCTAAAGGAAGACAAAATGAAAGAGCAAAGCAAAGTTTCAAACAAGTGTAATTAGAAAGAGTGAAAATGTCCAAAGGGTGAAGAAAGAATGGGCGAAAATAAGGTATCAAGATTCATAGCACAATAAGCATCCATAAATTATACTTGTTATTAACTTCTGTTCATTGCATTTTTACCTTTACCAACTCTAAAGTGTCAACAAATAAAACGTTAAAACACTATCAGCAGAGAGGATAGGGTGTGATATGAAAGGTGGTAAAACCAAGGAAATAAAAATTTACATAAGTGTGCTGTTTTTGCTATCCTATTAGTACCAACATATCCTTTCAGCCTTCTCATACCTCCAGGATACTTCCTTGCCCCCACAAACTTACTTTTAATTTTTTATTTCATGTTACAATTTAAAACTAAGATGCTGATATGAGATTATAGTTTCCCTGGAAAAACCAGTCGCAACATCACTTTAAAAAAAAAAGGTAGAAAGTTGAAAAGGTTAACCTTTAAGACAGCTGAGTGAGAATTGATATACTCGTGAATGGCCTTATCAAGAACAATGTCTTCATTGATGGTAACTCCACCCATCTGCTTCCAATGCTTTAATGATACATTTGATGCTCTGGCAATGAATTCGCAACTCCAGTAAACTAGACAAAAAGTATGCTTTATGAAACAGTATTTTATAAAATTCATCATAAGCAGGATATGGACAGTTCCCTAACACCTATCCACTCCTCCTGCCCCCAAAATAATGCCTTCCTTACAAAGGAGCATAATTCACAACCAGGGTAAAAAGTCAAATTAATGCATCCACAAAACACAACCATTCGTAGGCGTATAACAACACGTGACATTTATGAATGCGTAAGTTTTCTCACCATTTACACTAGGAAATATGACAGGATAACAAGGGCCCTGAAGCTGAAGAGAGGAGTTTCTCATTTCTGGCGTAAGGAACTCAAAATAATCATAGTTCATATCAATCCAATCATTCATTGAAACGCGAATATCTCCTTCAGGATAATCACACACCCAAGTAAGTGAATCTTCAGAAGGTACAGGGCAGTCCAGCAAGCATATACTGCGGGCATTGGCCAGTTTGAATTGGCTATCCTTCAATCCACTTTGATAAACCTGATTAGGATTTAACCAGTATCTGAGCTCCAATTCTTTAAGATCTTTAACTGCATGCTTGTCCCCACACACATTTCCTTTGTAGTCCAGCCCATAAGTCAGCCTAGTAAGCCATAAAACCAGCAATAACTACTTACATGACCATAACAACACAAGCAAGAATAAAACTATAGTTTTGAAGATACAATACAATCAAGTTCTTCATCTTACTTTCAATTCCTCAGCAACCAACAAATAACAAGCTTAGTACATTGGAGGAAAACGTACAACAAAGAAGATCTAAGGCCTGTTTGAGTAAACTTCTCCAAAAACACTTCTAGGAGAAAAAAATAGAAAAGAAAAAATGAAATAAGTTTCTTCTTAAGCTGAAATTACGTATACATAAGGTTAGGTTCTTCAAAATCTTAGTTTTAAGATAGTTTCAGCTTATTTCAATTTTCGTTCTTATTTTTCTTTATTAGAAGTGTTTTCGGAGAAACTTATCCACACAAGCCCCTAATAAACATAGGATGCTAAATTGTCAAAAGTTAAACATCCTTGTCAAAATTCCTAAAGAAACAAAATTAAAAACACTATGCACGTATCCCTTTGAGAAATAACATGTCACGCCTTAAATTTTCACTTGAAAGCTATAACTTGCCAACTTCAGAAACTCCATTAAGACAATACACCATCGGAAAAAGCTGCAAACTTTAAGATCCTCACCTCAATGGGTTTCCTCGGTTGAATGCAAAGCTGGAGTTGACGATCATGGCAACCCAGAAGGCTATAAAGATGACAAGAAGGGGTATGTCTCTGCATTTTCTGTTGTGCCTGATGATGCCACCCAAATGGGTGGTTCCATCACTTGAAGGGTACCTCCCTATAACTGCACCCAAAGGACCCCTCATTTTGAAGCCTTGAATGTATCTTTGTTGCCACTTACCAAGACACAAGCTTGGATGGCTCAGCTCAACATTTGAGAGAGAGATGCAGACACAAGAACAAGAAGGGACAGAAGTGGAGTAGAAGGTAGGACACTGTTGAAGCTTCTGCAATGAGCAAAGGGTTTTGGACTTTAGAGTGTTGATAATGATTATTAATGATTAAATTTTTTCATTATTTATTCCATCATAAGACAAAGATATTCTGGAAAGTGTTTGTTAAAGGGGAAAAAAGAGACACAAGTCCTCCTTGTCTTCTTATGCCTCACTTCATAAACATATCAGATGTGTCGGGTCCAAGCAAAATTATGGCCCGGGTTGTGAACCTGAGACTGACATAACTCAAAATTAAATTCAATTCTGGCACATTAATATTAATATTAATAATTGAATTTTTTAAAGTATACTGTCAGGAATTTAATTTTTAATTATAAGTATGAAAAATATTGGTTGAAAAAGATAAAATTCTGTTTGATTTGATTTGAAGGGTGAAAAAAAAGGCAAACACAGAAGACCAACAAATATAATAAAAGTATAAAAGACAGAGAATTAGATTTGAAAGATGAAATGAAGGGATTGATTGCATTGCGCCGTTTTGGCGACAAGGATAGACAGCGATTCAAGTTGGAATTAATAAAAGCTTTCGAGTTTGTATAAGAAAAAAATATGATTAAAAAATTTATTAAAAATAATTTACCAAATTTTTTTTTTTTTGGAGATAGTATGAATATTAAAAAATAAAAATAAATTGGAAGTAAAAAATTAATAATTGTGGTCCTTTCGATCTAATTTTGTACCTTCCTTCTTTACTTGCTCAGTCTAGTGGACTGCATAGTGATATGTTATTCAATTTTTTATATAAAATATTTCTTATACTAATTAATATTTATAAAATATAAATTTAATTAAATTTTCTAATTTCAATAAAAATTTAATAGAATAAGAGTCTCATTAATATTAAAAATAATTTTAAAAATAATAAAAAATTTAGGATAATGTAATTTTATCAAATAAATTAACTAACTTCTTTAATTTTACCTTTTTATTTATAATTATGTTATTAGTGTAAATTCGTCAATGATAATTTATGACTAATTTTTGTTAAAAATTTGAGATATTATTTTTATGGAAATTTTTTCTTTCAACCATGTTATTTTCATTTACAATGTAAAACTTAAATAACTTTTAAGAAAATTGACTCTAATACCTCTTATGTCAGTGATCTGTTCAATAAAATTAGGTAATTGAGTTTGATCAAATGTATGCAAGAGAATATTAAATAACATTATGGCTAAAATGCCCTTTTGTTTGCTTCACAATTTTAATTCGTGATGTTTGTTTCTCAATTTTTAAATTTTTTATTTTAATCTCTTAATTTTATAAAATATGTAATTGTGGTTTAACAATTAAATATTTTTTCATTGATCATCAAAATCATAATATTGATTATGACCAAACATTAAGTAAATAATATGATAATTAATATTTAAATTAAATTTTATATTTGTTCCTTGTTTTTAATATATTTTCACTTATTTTTATCATTTTTATGAAATATTATAAGATGTTGTTCAAATGGCATGGAGGAAAATTGTAAATGATGGTATTAATCTCAATGAATAATTATTAGCACACATAAATTAAATATTTTTCTTTCAACATAATTTATTTTATAAATAAAATTAAGATTAAAATCCTAAACAAATTAATTAATAGATACAAATTATTATACTTGTAATGTGTTAACACATTATAAATCTCACAAATATGTATGAAAAGTTAGTAAAAAATGCAAAAGATGTATAATATCTTTTTGCACACAAATCAGTTGATTTAAAATGAAAATTCAAACACGCTATAAATAATTTAAGTCAGATACTATTTTATGTTTTTTTTTATTAAATTGGGTTAGGTTAACTTAATTATGAGTCAGAAATTTATTAAATCAACGTATTGTTTGCAAGTAGTCAAACAAATTAGCCTATATGTTTGATAATTGAAAAGGCATTTCCCAGATACAAAGAGATACTTATGCTCACTTATGTTCAACTTCTTGCAAAACAAGACTCAAAGACGTTATTAGTCTTTGAGTTCTAGCTTTCTCTTAAATATAAATTTTTAAGCTTAATTTTTTATCAATAAAAATCTTGTATTTTCTATTTTTTAAATCAAAATTTAAGTTTATAATTTTTTTTTAAATTCATAAGAATTACAAACATCAATTACCTATAACGAGATTTGAATATAAGAACTTGTCTATATTATTAAATTTCTTACCATCATATCAATCTTAAATGTTTATATAAGTTTCTATTTGTGTTTTATTAGTCTCGTTTCATATTTAAAGTTTTTAATTTAAAAGAATATCACCAAAATAAGTAGTGACAATAATTTAAATCATTAAAAGCTTATTAAAGAAAACTGGACCAATGTCTTAAATCCATAGCTGACCAAGCCAAGTTAGGTGAGCTAAATTTCAAGCAAATTAGTTGAGTTTGCTCTATTAAACCGAAAATTTTCAACTTATTTAATACTATATAAGTGTTTAATGGATTATTCTTTAGAATCAACTTATTTATATTGCTTTCTTTCATAGAGGAAGTGAATCAATTGAGTCCACTAATATTTTTGAATCCTTAATATGTACCATTGTATTAAATACTTGATCGAATCTTTTAAGCAAAGTTATGGAAAAAAAATTGAAAAAAAATATTTTACTAAAAAGACAGTTAAATTTCACAATAAATATTAATCATTAATAAAATTAGTGATATTTCACGCTAATAACATATAAAAAAATACATTAAAATAAAATAATAATGAAAGCAAGATATACAATGAGAATGGTGTCATAACTAAAAGATAATAGGGCCAACTATAAAAATTAAAATCATCTAATAAATATATAAAGATTAAATTTATATAAATATTTATAATTATATTTTCAAAATATTAGTTATATAAATGATTTAACAAAATGATTTACCGAGAAAACAAATTAAATATTATTTTTTTTACTAATGTTGGTTCGAGGGAAATTAAAATTGGTAGTTTTAAATAAGATTTTTAATTTAAATTTTGTGTATAAAAAAACATAATTGAGAAAGAGTTCATTCTAAAAGTAATTGATTAGATAACAGATTAATCGTAGATAAAACTAATATATGTTTTTTATCAATAACATATTTAAAAAAAATTTAGTAATAAAATAATTAGTATGATAACTAGAAATTAAAGAAGACGGTGAGTTTTATCTGTTGGGATAAATTTCTTAAGCCAAATAGAAATTTTTCATTAATCAATATTAAGAACCGTTGTCTCAGATTATAGAGTTAATGTTAATAACACGTACCTGTATCCATTGACGTTAATTAAAAGGTTGCAGCGGAATAGTTTTTTGGTACAATGATCTTCCTCAGCTAAATCACTGGATTCCTTAACAGGACTTGATGTTACTCTTCTAATGGGGAGACAGAGAGACGTGTGTTTCTGATTTAGCATATTGGGGATCATGACCATCTTTACGATTTTAAACCTATTAAGGTTCCCATTAACCCTTAACGAGCCAAATCTGGTTTTCATTTATTTGGGTCCATATCAGTTTTTCCTGTTGGTAGTCTAAAGGCTCATTAAAATTAGATCACTTTTATTGAACTCAACTAAATGTAAATAACTAATATAAATACTACAAATAATATATGTAGACCACATAATTATTAGAAAAAAAAATTCTAACATCTCATCTTGGTTTGACTTTTATGTATTAAACACTTTCATAAAATAATTGTTTGATAAGGAACCCATAAAATGAGTTAAGGATACATCTTAACTCTCAACAAAGACAACAAAAATTGGTGATATAGGTGTATGGGAGCAGGCACTAATGCACGAAGAAGAGAGTAGGGCACATGACTACCATTTTACACACACATATTTTTTTTATCCCAAAAAAATATTTTAAAAATAAAAATTATATTTTAATTAAAGAAACATATATATTTAAATTATCATATTATAAAATATAAATTTAAAAGATTTGTTCATTTATTTGATATTTATCAAATTTTCGAAGGAGATTAGTTCTCTTATATAATAAAAAATACTCTTTAATAACGAATTAATTTTTTTTAAAAGTTTAATTTTTGATAAAATAAAATTTGTAATATATATATTTACCTTTTGTGCTTTTTATTTATGTATACATTGA